TGTAAGTTTACACATTCAACGGGGATACAGGATTGACCTAGAGGTGGTCCACCCTTACCAAGACTTATTAGATATCATATTCAATTCTTACTTCCCCAATCCTCTGGTAACCTATCAAAATAAGTAATTGAATGTTTTAGCTTGTAATTTGAACGGCATAAAAAAGTTGAAAGCCCACCCATCTCAGAAATGAATGCTCTAGCTATCTCAGCTTCAGTATAACAGAGATGTCAATAGTTAGCCTAGCTTATCTCACACTGCTAAATTCTTGCCATCTGTTATTCTAAGGTTTAGTTTAGGAATAAGATATATGCATTCCAGAGTAACGGTGGGTAATATTATCTAGTACAGCTCCAATTTAAAACTGAAGATATGTTTTTCCGTAGCAAAACAACATAATATACAGCTTCTAAATACACGCCCAAATAACGGATCCTCAAAGAGCACAATCATGAAAATACATAAGCCACATTTGGCCTACATTGGATTTGGGCCCCACCAACTCAAAATTGATCGAATGTTTTTGAGTAGTGTCACCTTTGTAGGCCAATACTAGTATGACCTACACTTGAAAATGCAAAAGAACCTTTGCTCAAGCCACTAACACCTGACACATCCCAAGAAAAACCAACATGTTGGGTTGGGATCAGTTTTATTTCAGAGAGAGAGAGAGAGAGAAATCGTTCCATGTGAATCATTAAGTGGGTGCCATTCATAGAAAAATAGCGCATGAACAATGAACGTTCTAAGGTCTTCAAGAATCAAAAGATTCTATGAGCCAAACTTCCCGCTTCATCAAAAACGGACTTACAAAAAGCATATGGCTATGCAAAGACTACAGAAAAAAAGATACACATATGCACATGCAAAAAAATGACCTCATCAAAGGATGATAGTACCTGTATCCAACTAATAATTTAAAATTTTCCATTAAGAAGACCCAACAGAACTGCAATTGATAGATAATAATATCAGAAATTAATTAAATCCAATGAGTTTGTCAGAAATCATAATCTTAAAGGGGATGTGTTATTACTTCAACGCTGAATGTAAGAGAAAATGCTCGAACATCAAAGAACCAAAGAATCATGGAAAGTTCTATCTTCTTACTCTCAAAAAGCAAGGAAACTTCAGATGGTCTTGCAGTAGAGGATAGCAATAAGCAACCAAATTCTAACAGGACAAGATATTAGAGTGAAAATGCTTCATAAAATGTACAGTTGATGCTCACCTCTTCTAGTTGGAGTTCCATAGTCCTCAACGTTGATTTCTTGTATGGCTGGAGGTGTCCATTGGGGACCCTGAGACTGATCAGATGGACTACTTAAAAACAGCTCTGCACCATCAGAAGCAGAGTAATGATGATTGTAGAGACGGTTGCCTCTCACCCATCCCCTACTTCCTTTACTGTTTGAAGACGTGGACGATCGATAAAGCTGATCACTGTCCCGTAAACCATTAGGTAGCCCCTCATATTGAAGCCGAATATCCAATCTTGATGGAGGTGGCGAAAAGCTAGTGTTTGTTCGCCAGTAAGGCTCATGTGGGCCCACAGACCAGTCCCCACTGGCTGCATGTGATCCATGTGGCCTTGCAGCCACACAACAGAGCGACCCCGTTTTAGCTATTTTCTGTATAACTCCAGAAGCTAATATCTTAGCCTTTTAACACTTGACAATGATCAACTGAAATGAATCCAATAGCTTCTACCACATCAGCTCATGATTCCGTCAAGGAATTAGGTTCACCGAATAAATAAATGTCTGCCATTGGTGCTTGAAATACAAGGCAGTATTGCGGCCAAGAAGGACACCTAATTCATACCGGCGAATAAACAACTTACCCCCCTAGTCACAGTAATCATGTCTCCTTCACTGTCACTGTCCAAGAAGAACATGAATCCATCCTGAAGAATGTGTAGCTGTGCCTACAGTAACCAGATTTCGATAATAAACTCTAAGGAATCACAGAGGAAATTCTGGCACATAAAGGAAAACGGAAAAAAACAACCTCACAGGGAAGCTAAAGACCAAAAAAGAAATTAAGTTCCCGAGAATCCCTACAAGAATGCCATTGCTAGGTACTCAGATCATGGCTACAAGGTAACACCATCGGCATCGTAATTAACAATGACAAGCAACAATCTTGCATAGCAAGCAAATTCGGGTTTACGCGGTCATGACCCTGCGCAGAGTAGTTCCCGGAATTTCTAAGCAGGAACGGTAAAAATACATGAGGAAACAACTCTTCTTCCCCTCAGCTTTCACCATCTCATGCTAAACCATGCTTCGGCAAAACAAAAACCGAAATTTACAGTGAAAAACACATCCCTTCTATAAAAAGACCGACCCCAAAATGACAAGAATTGAAAGCCCCCAGGTGCCTAAACAGCTGAAGTCTGCACTAACAGCATTTCCACATGAGTCACCCCCACCAAGAGATTACCCAAGGGGAAAAAAATTAGAACTTGATAACCAAAACCAGTTAAATGGCTACCCAAAAACTACATCCCGAGGCCGAAGCGGACAGACCCACCAAAAATTTCTAACACATTTTAGAAGATAAACACTAGCCAGAGCGAAATCAACACCATTTGAGCAGATGGAGCCAACACTTACCAGTGCGATTGGTCATCGAGGAAGACGGGTAAGAGATAGAGATAGGGAGAGGGAGAGAGTGGCTGTCATTTGGGAGAAATGCAGTGCTTGGGGACACTCCTAATTTGCGGAAACTGAGCACGACATTGCGCTCAGGAAAGAAAAGCCCTAACAATTCCAGACCGGAGAGAAAAGGGAAAGGGGAAGGAGGTGTCTGCGTCATTTTGCATTGAGGCCCCCCATCTTTTACGTATTTGCGCATACTCCCTGTGCTTTTTTCTTCCCCAATTGGTGTCTTGTCTTGTCGTGTCTTGTCCTAACCCCAGATTAACGTGCCGATCATCTCCTAAGTACTGTGTGATCAACTCGGCAGGTGCTTGATTAGACATTAGACATGCCCAGAAGCCGCATGGAAGGAAAACAACACAGGAATTGGCTGGCTTTTGCCCGCATGCTACGAGGCATCTAGTGTTTCCTTCCATGAGCACAATTGATTTTAGAACTTTACACTCGTCAGCTTGGCGACACGGTAATAACCTTACTCGATTTGTCTATAGATTGAGAGCTCGGATAGAGTTGGTGTCCGATTCTTACTCTGTCGACACTTTCAAACCGTTACACATCAAAGAAGATCTTGACTGATGTTTGTGATGTTTATTTTCAAAATGTCTTTTTTCCTTCGTTTTAAGAACATGACGTAACTCGAAGATAAATAATCAATTTGTATTCAATTAATCATAACTCATGTTGATTGCTTGCTATCACTTTGAATTGATCATTGTTTTCGAAAAAAAATGACCCACATGCCTTGAGTGATGTGGATTCTAACCGTCAAGTTTGTGCCCCCATCAACCAATCTTCTTTTCATAGCAAAAACAATCTATTTTCTTTTCTTCACTGGCTTAAATGCACATACTCACGATTGTGGGGGCAAAAATGAAAAACCCCACAAAGAGACTAAAGGTGGGGCTTGAGTTAACAATGAATTTGATAGCTGTGAATCACTATCGAAATTTCAGGACAGAAATTTGAGATTAAAAAGTAGTTTTAGATTTGTTTTACAATACAAAGATGTGATTAAATTCTTCCATTCATACCAAGTCCTTGTCAAAGGGACTGTGTTCGAAACTGCAAGCATTGTCGTCTGGCCCTTTATGATTCATGTTCCACTCCAAATGCGCCCTCTTATTTTTTTGGGCAAAGCTCCTTTTTAACTTTATGAAAAGAAAAGGGTACATGGTGTCACAAATGACACGACAAATCGAGTTTTATATGGCTATATCAAATGCATGAATGTTGTACTATAAAGGATGCAGATACATTCATATTCATTAAAGTAGATCTCAGTGCAGTGGTTTGATGTGCTTCGTCAAATGCCTGAATACTGTACTAAAAGGCCTCTTTTTCCCCAGGTCACACTTGAGATGAACCTAACTCACTGATCACATGACAATTTAAATTATGGACACATTGCAATTTCACTTCTTGTTCAAGTTACTCCCTCGTCGGTCCTATCATTTTTCGCCTCTAAAAGAATGAATAGGAAATAAGTTATAGATGACCGTCTGATTTGGGGAATAAGATTAAGATTTGTTCAACAGACCGAAAAGGACAGAGAGCCGACGAGAGAAGGGACAAAATCCATCAGATGACGGCTGGAGAATGATGCAATTCACACTCAAAAGGCATTCGTTGTTCATCTGACTAGTAGATTTTCGTCCAAATTCTTCCAGGAACCGGATCAAGCTGTAGTAAGCACGGGCACTTGTGTTTGTGCTTTTTGGCTTTAAGCTCAACCCAAAGGAATTGATTAAAGTGCCAGCCAAAAGTAACAAAAGGAATGGCTCAACTGTAGATGTTTTCCATGAACAAACAAGTCAGAACAAATCCAGCCACCCTACAGAGATGTTGGCCTGATTCAGAGGATACCCTCAGCCCAGAGCTGTCAACTCGTGTTGGGGCAACCTATTCATGTCCGTTATTTACGTCTTAACAAGCACGCTTTGGCATAATGAAAAATTACTTTTCATCGAGAACGAGTCAAAAAGTGCTGGTTTCCGGTTAGCCATGCTCGTGATGCGTTTAATTCAAATGTCTCTGGATAAATTCATCAGCAGCCCTTCAACCACCTCGCAATGCAATTTTTCTTTTCCTCAGGCTTAAGCATTAATCGGTTACTTCTGGTCATAGAACAGGAAGAATAAGAGCATGTTTGGTTTCAACAGCCAGTATCAGTAAGCCCATCTATGGTGTTAGTTTTGCACCAGATTGACTGACGATCCTCCAGTTGCAATCGACCTCATGAATCAGTAGTTTTTCATGAAGCAAAGACCATCCCCCATACTCCTTATCTTCTTCCAGCTTGATGCTGATCAAAGTCAGGCACAAGAATGCGCCACTATGTAGATACAAACGCTATATTATGGATCATAAGGACAGAGTGCACCTACCTTGGCCAAAGGAGTCATAGCTTTCTTCATTATACACAAATCTAGATACCAATATCGTCTATCTTGCTTATTCCAGATCAAAACAATCCTAAGGGGACCAGACTAGCAAAACCCAGGTGATGATTTGACATGCTCGCCACTTCTCTATAAACTGGTGGTTGTTTAGCAGCGCTACTTGTTGGCAATTCCGTAAATATGAGAGTTTATAAGGGGGGCATTAGCTAAAAAAGCCGTGCCAAGTTCAACACTAGAGAATCCAGCCTCAGATATGTTCTTCCCTGTCTCTCTGGTAAGGTGACATCCATCAGCAGCTGCCTGCTGCAAGGGATCGAGGATACTCTGGAGGAACTTGAGGATTGTTCCATCTGACTTATCAAATTTGAGCAAAAAGTATCAACACTAAAGCATACCCAAGTATATCTAAAGTGATGTCAACTCAAACTTTTTGCGATTCATGCAACAACCGTTTAGCCGTTTTCAGGGCTCGTACCTTTTGCAGCCACATGCTCCACAAAGATGTAAGAACCACCTGGTTTAAGCACCCTCTTCACTTCTAAAAAGACAAAAAACAAATATCACGCTTTGAAAAAGACCAAATGGCTTCAACCAGCTAGCTATAATGAAGGAGTATAATCCTCACAAATAAACAATGTTACATAACTCACATGCCAAGTTTTCTAGTAGCCATTGGAATAATGACACCTTGCTTGACTTTGCATACCAATGAGGAAGTCGAAAGAGAAGCTCAACACCTCAGATTCGCACTATAGAAGTGCAGAAGTAGACAGATGGTAAACAAAGGACATCACAGCCTTTGGAGAGACGTTACCTTTCAGCGTCAGGTCAACATCACTGACAGAGCACAAGACGAGGGTTCCAACAACTGCTTCAACAGATGCATCCCCTAGTGGTATAGCCTCACCAACCTGGATGACATCAACCATAGAGATCAGAAACTAAGAAAAAGGCATGATAGACATTGATAGTTGGCAGACAGAGGTCATATCCAGCGGGTATTATCCTTGGTATTCAGATTAACTAAGCCCAATAGCTAGCCATGGCCATTTTCCCCCTTCTTGATCCACCCCCTCACCATATGTATTATCCTGCCAACCAAGATCTTTAAGGTTTGGATGATCTTCTTTGCAAGTTGACAAATTATCAGGCCATTAAAGTTATTTGTAATATCTTGAAGGCAAGAAAATATTCACCTCCTACTTGAAAAAGCATTTTCCACTCTGAATATTCGAGTTAAATTCACCGAACACAAGTTAGAAGAAGCACTACAAAATCATCAACAGCCTGTGCATTTTCAAAGATTCCTGGACAAAACCTCGTCCTTTGTTTTTGGACAGTTATCACAAAGAACCTTCTTGTTAAAGTTTATATGATCCAGTTGACCATGGATCACTCAAGTCCAATCATCTCCGCGAGGTATACCAATTCCATTGACCACACTCTTCAAAAGTGCACAAATTTCAAAAGTAAAAACATTAAAAAAGAAAAACTCAGTAACTAGTATTGCCATATTCATGCGCACATACTGCTTGGAGAAATTTGAAGTTGGGAGATGGTAGACCAGCTGCTGCTGCTGCTGCACGAGCATATCTTTCCATTGTTCTCTTTGGGTCTATCCCAACAACATGGACGTTGTTGTCATTGGCATAATACTTGAGATTAGGACCTGTTCCTATACCGATTTCCAAAACTTCCTTGACTTTTCCCTTCAATTTGCTGAATAGCTGGGACTTGTACCCTGCAATCTTGCCAAGTAACAGAATGCACGCAGATAGTTATGTAAGAACTCAAGACAAGAATCTTTTTTTAAGAGACAACTCAGGTAATCCGAAAAGGGAGACTAACCTCAGCCTCATAAGCTTCCATACCCTTATCGAGTTCCATAGCTTGCAACTCCTCATACCACTGAGGTCTAGGAGCGTGAAATTTATCCAACATCGCCTATGTGCAGATAATGCAAGTTAAATGATGTTAGAACTTCACATGCCCATATCTGACAATCTCGTAAACTCATAGAAAATAAAACATGGTCGGAATAAAGCGATACTCAACCGCATGAGAAGGCGACCTATTTGTCCAATAAACAAACTGTGTAGCTATGGCTCATTTATTCATGGGTTAACACCCTCTCACATGGAGAGACATCATAACTACAACTAAAGCATGGATATTGATCATATTCAAAGGGCGAATGAGGAGTCAGAACATTAAAGCGAGAGAACTTCCCTTTGATATCACATTGATGAAGACGCAGATCGCTTGCATTCCAAACAGAATGCAATCGATGCCCAAAATCCAGCCATCCCGGTTCAGTAATGACTGAATTTAGTAAGGACAATATGTTAACCACAACTTCCGGATCAAGGTCTTTTATCAAATTCAAGACATTATCATAGACCAAATCACTGTTCTGAATGGGACCTGCTAGAGAACAAGTTCCCACGACGCATTCTTGAATTTTGTTCACGTGGCCGGATCAGTTTCACTTGAAGGGCAACACCACAGAATATGAAGTCGGGGTTTAATAGATACGGCGTTGTTTACCATCTGATTTCACCGACTTTCCTTCTAACATTTCATGGCTTCTGATGGACCTGACATGAGACTATCGCCAACTTGAATTAAAAAAGCTTAAGCTACGAGAGACAGAATGAACTATCCGCCAACATTTGATTTGAAATCCACCCCCATGTAAAGGAAACAAAAAAATTCGAAAACGGCATATGTGGAAACCCGACAAATGAACCGAAATGAACACATCCCCGCGAACGGATATCACTATGAGAGCGAGCGAGACAAGCATGGGTACCGCATAATCAGAAGACGAATCGGAAGCATCTGAAGGACGAGTTGGGATGAATGGCGATGCGGCCGCTACAGCTGCCGCCATGAAATGCCGTCTCCCGCAGCAGCAGAATCTGCCGTCGCGCAACCCTTCACCGGCGAGAGCTCGTTTCAGGTCGGAATCAGAGCTTTCGGCCACCGAACACGAACCGGAGCGCGCGACCGCACGATCAGGGAGAGAAAAGGTTCTGATGGGCATTCGTGTGGAGAAGGTGGGAGTGTCGAACTTGGAGTTGGAGCTGGAGTTGAAGACGGAGGAGGGCCAGGAAGAAGAGTGGAGTACCCTCATCGTCATGTGTGGGAAGAGAAGGCGGGATTAACTTTCGGCTAAGAAGCCATGAAGATGTTGCTGAAGCTTGCAGAAAACACCCGCCTCTGTCTCTGTTTCTCTGATAGTGATGGCGATAGAATTGCTGTGGCTCAAAACATAAGAAGTTCGGTATACCCTTCTTAAAGGAGGGAAGTTTGAGGTCAAACGTAAATCCAAACCACACCATAACTGCATGTTTGAGGAAAACTACGTGCTACGTCTAAGTATTTTCTCTCATCAAAGACCTTGTTCCGTGCACAATCCCCCGTTTGAAGTCCTCGAACTGTCTCGCTCCTACTCACAGTTAAAGAAATTCGCGGAGATGTTTTCATTTCGGTAAATTTGTTGGGTTTCCACGAATGCCGTTTGCACGAGGGTGGATTTCAATCAAATTGTGGTGAATCCAGATAGGTTATTTGTCCAAAAGCTTAAGCTTGGACATCGAGTTGGCGGTAGTCTCACGTCAAGTTCATTGGAAGCCATGTCGGTGAAATGGGATGGTAAATGACACCGTGAATATTAAACCCCGAGTTCATATTCTGCAGGTGTTGCTCTTCAACTGACACTAATTCGGACACATGATCAAGATTCAAGAATGCGACGTAGGAACTTGTTCTCTAACAGTTCCGTTCAGAACAGTAATGTGGTCTGTGATAATGTCTCGAATTTGATAAAAGATCTTTTCGACCGCAAGTTGTGTTTGACATATTGTCCTTATTGAATTTATCCCTTACTGAACGAGAGTAATTGTGCCGGTGAGAAAGACCAAAGGGTGTACCGATATATGTGTTGCCTTGAATACTGCAGTTGCAACTCCGTCTCTCCGGTTCAACTCTCATCAAAGGCCTTATGTAGTTCAAATGCCTCCTGTTTTGGTTTACAATTTGTCAATTACAGAAGGGAAAGAAAACACCGGTTCGACCAAAATGACTCAGCACAGAACATCATGCGGCTCATCCTGACAGCTTTTCTCCTCCGAAGGAAGATCTTTCTCGTTACCATCCTCTACTTTGTGGCTCTCATCTTCTGGATCTTCGCTATGGTAGCCATTCCCTGTGACACATGAACAAGGGACTAACAAAGTTACGTCTACCGCTTTGAATTAAAAGAGAAGGATTTTGACAAGTTGACAATCTGGTTCTTTCATACCAATCAACCTACTAAGGTCATCTTGACCAGAATACACATTTAGGACTTCAGGAGATGCATATTTTTCTGCACTTGGGTTCTTCAATCTTCATACATGGAAAAAGTAAATGTAGATGTGCCTCCTTATGATTGCTCAAAAATCAGCAGAAAAATTCATGCTCTCTTTTAGCGGTGAACCCTCTTCTAGAGTAGAGGATGCTATATCGTCTAAATTATCGGTTGACAGTGCCAAAGTGCTTTACCTTCATTACCATCATCCGCAGGTGCATATGCTGAACGCCTTGACCTTCCTTGGTGATGTGGGGTGGGCTGATTATAGCAAGAGGATAAAGAGAAGTAAGAAGTCGAGAAACTAACTGTAAACCTGTTATAGCATGACATGTGAAGTTGAATTGTGTATTTGCACCACCAATACATGTGAAGATTGTCCTTTCTGCTAGCCAAATCTTCGCCATAAATGAATGTTCATGTCGTCCTACTGTTAGCATTTAGCAGCACATGTTCTCAGCAGGAATTGGTGATTTCAAGAACATTGAGATGGAATGCAAACAAAAAAAAGAAAAAGAAAGAAGAAGAACATGAAGATACTAAAAAAAACCAGCATCAACCATGGCATGCATCAATGTGTAAAGGGAGCAAGATTATCAACTATTAACCAGGAAAATTGAGGCCCCATTCTGAAGGTTCAAATAAGTATTTAACACTGCAGATACTAATACCTAAGATCATGCATAAAGTTTTCCTTGTTTGGGACACATGATGTATCCTCATTGAAGGAAAATTCAGTTACCACGGCATTCACCGTGCAAACTTTATATGACCTGTTCTCTCTCATATCTAAGACGTGGTTGGAGGTCTCAGTCCCGGTACACACTGTGAAATGCTTGTTCCTCAACATATTTTAAACAAGTTCAGAGATTTTCGAAATGCGCTGATAATGATCTGCACGGCTGCTTGCTGAGACTCAACAGGTTACAATTCTGGCAGATGTTCGACATACAAACTGCAACATCAGCATCAACGTCAAGTACCTGCAATTTTGGTCGGAGAGCTTCAAGCGGTCCTTTGGGCTTCTGTGCTCCTTGCTGCAACATTGGTCAATGAGGATATTAAACATTAGAACCAACTATCAGTATTTATCCAAAGGCAATATTTGGAGATGCTTGAACGAGTTACAAGTACCTTACCCAAAGCCCAGTCAGCAGAATCAAAAAAAGCGCGTTCATGATCCTGGATAACACATTTTTTCAGAGGACGCTAGTCTTAATATTGCTGGAGTATATTATTTTGGAGAACTAAAGAAGTCGAAGGTGGACAAAAAAAAATATACCTTGGAAATCAATGGAGGCTTCTTTGGTAACAGGCCCCCATACTTTTTCTTGATTATTTCCTCCTATAGAAGACATACTTTCTAGATAAAAGAATCCACACAAACTTTACCCAAGACCAAGATCCAAAAATAATAGAAAACAAAACACAGTACATGTCATTGACTATCTTAGCTTAGGAAACAACTGATACTTTTCTCTGGTTAGATGACTTGAGAAAATAAAAGAATGAGGAAGGCACTTAACATATCATCACAAAATTTTTTGTCTTCGGAAAAGTTTCATGACAGCTACAGCCAAACTAAACAAAGTCCAATATACTGTCTTTATCCTGTACAAGCATCCTGGGCATGATCCTCAACTGACTACAGAATGCACAAGCAACAATTAGTCATACCTCCTCCTCTGGGGAAGGCACGGCATTCTCATCACCTACATCTGAATCTATCATATCTTTAAAAGAACCTTCACCTTCAACATCATTTTTAATTGGACAATCAGCAAGCACTTGGTCCCGTGAGTCCTCAACGATTGTGCCCGACATTTAATTGAACGGGCAATAGCTGAAATGACGAAGCAGATGATACCAAGCAGTCAGGAAAAACACAAACATCATCACTACATAACAGGATGGTCAATTTTTTGTCTTTTCATTCGTCAATACCAGAAGGTTCCTCCAATTACTGACTCACCACTCGCCCGAGAGAAAAACTCACCCGAGAGAAAGAAGAAGATAATTTGTTCGATAAGAAAAAGAAAAAAAGCGTGAACACAGCAGCATCAAGCTAATATCAAAAGAAATCAACGAAACATCCACCCGGGTACACACATTTTAGAGTCCCGGATGCTACATATGATTTTATACAGCATCGAAAACTTTGCCTGGGATTAAGTTAGCAAGCCAATATCTGCACTCAAACCACGGCATCTCTGACAATCCAGCCTCTCTTTACTAAAATTTGAAAAGACAATCCGAGCACTGAACATTCCACCATAAAAAAAAAAAAAAAACGACTCAGACGAATGATCACACTATGCCACATCATGGGTCGGTCTTCAGTGTGGTTTCACGTTTGATCCTAGAGCATCCTGGTATAAAATTTCACCTCCTCCTGCTTCAAGCTAGAAAATCACACTCGTTTTCAGCCTACACAACACTAATTCTGTTCACTGTCGTAATCAGCTCTTCAGCTAAATGCGGTCCGCACCCGTTCGTCAGTATGGAACAAGCAAAAAATCACCTCCACGCAAAAGGGAAAATCTTCGGAGCTTGCACGGACCACCGGATATCTTTCGCACTAGCACGTCTGTTTGTTGCTACTACTTGCTCGAACAAAACTAGGATGCGAGATTACCTGATTAGGAAGAGCTCCAACGAGAAACCGGACGTTGAGGATTGTAAGAATTCAAAGGCTTTCAATGGAAGATGAACAGAGTGGAGATGATGTTGAGATACCGGGAAAAGCACGAGAATGAGATGCTTTGTCCTCTGCCTGAATGCCACGCCACGCGCATTTATCTTTCAGATTCCAGCGCGGGATGTTGCATGATGATTGATGACGACGTCACAGGCCAATGCTCAGGTAAAATGAATTTTGGTTAATTTTTTTCTTGATGAAATAAATAACAAAATATAAACATACAAAAAATCGATCAAAAGAAAAAGGTAAAAAAAATTATTTGCGTTTATATTAGGATTACTTTTTAACATTAGCTCGTTTTAATATCGGTTAGTTATTTTTTTAGTCGGTAATTCTTTTAGTCCACGTTAGACTTTGACTTTGATTTCAAAACTAGCTCCCAAGGGCTCTTGTCTCGGAACTTAATAACGAGGCAGTATATATTCTTTGCCCGACCATCATACCCGGGTCAAGCTCACGAGGGTTCATGTATTTGCCCGTTCGAACAGCTCTGGTGATGACAATACCGAAGAAACTATCCATAAATATGACTTCTGAAGTCGTGACAAGCGCGTTTGAAAAATCAGTCCGTTGGTACATGTTTTTGCCCAACTACCTAGTCAAGCTCACCAGAGTTTACAGTTCTTTACCCGACATTATATTGGGTTACTTTCCACGCTGAGAGGGAAGACAGACTTCCATATTTATACAAGAGTCTCCATAATCACAAATGTTGATCTTATCTCTCATTTAACGGTAGAGATTTATTCTCACAAGTTAATCTCGCCTACTAATCTAACTGTGAAGATTCACTCCTACTTAACTATTTAACGGTAGAAAAATTTGATCCTTGTCTCGACCAATCCGGTGATAGAGATACATCTTGGTGGATACCAATCCTCGTCTCACGATTCAATGGTGGAGATTGAGTTCCACCTACTGATCCTACTGCTCTTGTTTCTCCGGATTGATGACTTGGCGATCCCTCTTTGCAACACGCATTTACCATTTATCTTTTCCAATAAATTCTTCGGGCATTTAGTTTCCATTACGACGATAAATCAATTCGACCTCAAACAAGGTTCTAACACTTCATTCTTATGGTGCATTGCAATGATTGAGAACTATATATTATCACTCTCCAGTGCCCACAACAAATGACTTGTTCTGAGGCGAAACATTGACCACGGAGTTGTCTAAAGTAGCATAGTAGATGGGCAGAGTGTAACAGCATCTTAGGCTCCTGGAACCAAACTAATGCAACAAAAGCCAGTGAAAACTGAGAAATGTGGTATTGGTTCAAGGGCGTCTTGCTATTGTCAGCCTCAGGCCATGCTTCATCGATAGGATGGTCATCATCCTGTACTCCACCGGGTGGTTTGGCACCAGCTTGAACTTGTAAAACCGGCACAGAATGGCCAGTGCCATCTTCATCTGCAGATATGCTGAGTCCTTCCCTAGGCATATCCTCGGCCCCGCCTGCATAGCAACAAAGAAACATACAGCATCCATCAAATAAGATCGTTTGTGCTTCCCTATTAAGACTTGCTTGTTGGTTACATTGAAAAGTCTACCAGTTTTGAATATCATAAAAATCTTGTTCTTTTTTCCTTGAGCCTCGTTAATGCTCTCCACCTTCATGGTTTTTTAAGTTAAAATCCTTCAGATTTTCTGTCTCTGGCGATAACAATTTGATCGAAACAAGCGGTGCTCATGATAGGGCCGTCTCAGTAAAATAACAGCTAAAACAAAGATCACACATTGCAGCTTGTTAGGCCTGATAGGAAGACAGATCCTGGTATCACACTGTAGGTGCTATGCCTGATGACCATACTGAAGTGTCCCTCCAAAGCTTGAACTTAACATAGGCCACGCTCATCATGAGCAGAAGTTATATATTGTCTCTCAGTCACCATCGATTTACCTGAAATGCGGTGAACTTGAACGGAGAAGCATTTTGAAAGAACCCCTCCTTCAGCCACCTCTCTGGCTTAAACAAAGCGGCGTCATGACCCCAATTGGACTCCATTCTTCCCATAGAATATGGGACATACGTCACCATCCCTCCCGCTTTCACTTTTGTCCCATCAGGCAATACGTCGTCCTGCAGCACACCCTTCGGATCCTGCAGTCAAGTTTTGTTTCGTGAGAGAGAAAAATGAAACTGTCATTTGGCCATTCTGAATGTATACTTAGCAATATTGTACTTGAATTGAGAATAATCGTGCATGCCTGGGGTACTGCTGGATACAGGCGCAGCGTTTCCGTGATTACAGCATGTAGGTAGTGCAACTTTCCAAGGGAGTCATATGTCATTAGTTTGGCGAATTGCGACACTCTCCGATTGAATGATTCAGGGTCGTCCACAGTATAAGGAAGTAGTGAGACCTCCTCTTCCCTTGCTTGATCTCTCTCCAAATTTTCAAGTTCTGAATAGATCTTTTCGGCAATATTCTGATGGGTCATTATCATGAATATAGACCATGAGAGGGTGGTTGCTGTCGTGTCACGCCCTGCGATCACAAAGTTCAGGACGATGTCTCTGAGGCTTTTGTCGGTTACATTGCTCTCTGGATCGTTACCTAGCTCGATGAATCTTGACAGTATATCATGCTTCATCTGTAGTTTTCATTGCATAGATCTTTTTGTCATTTCCAATCGTGAGGATACTTGAACATTGAGAATCCGGCAGTTTAAGTTTATTTACCTTTGCATCTTCGCGAGACTCACGAGCCGCTTCTACCTCGGCTTTCCGCTTTCTAATGACAGAGTAGGTGAAATCATCAATCACTTTGATGGCTCTGTTAAGAAGAGCTTCTGACCCCACATTCAGAAATTTCTTGATCCTCCAGAGGGGATCGATGAATCGAAAGGTCACAATTATGTTTGCTGCATCAAAAGATTGAGCGAAGCGGTTAACTGGTAAGTCCGGAGCCAAAGTTCCTATTTCGACACCGAATCCCATTTTGCATATCGAGTCCAGAGTCATCCTCATCAACAGCTCCTAGAGACGAAAAACTTCTCAAGCTTTGTCAGGCTTCATACAGCAAATAGGGGACATTTTGACACCACATGAAGTGAAACAGATCTGTTATTGTCAAACAGAATGAAGTTTTTATTAAAACCATTATTCACCTGCATGTCCACCTCTTTGTTGCAGAATGAAGCTTGACTTAGGATAGATGAAAGCTTTAGACTATATTCTCTGAAGACCACAGTGCTAAAATCCCTCAAATTCTTGGACGCGAATTCGAAACTCGCGGTCTTCCTTTGCTTCCTCCAAGATTCACCATCCACGTTAAATATCCCGTCTCCGAGCAGAACTTCCATGTATGAATGATAAACTTTCCCCTTCAGCAACAGATGATTAACCTCCTTAATACAGATAATAGTAATAATGGAAAAGAAAAATTGAGCATGAAAAGAAAAGAGAACAACCATCTACCACTGCCATCGCCAAATCTACACAAATCTTGACAAATTAAAAGCAAAAAGTGCTTCCTTGATGCATGAACATGCTATTTAGGTGATGAAAAAGAGAGATTCTTTATAAGTGCAAACCACTCAAAAAATTAAGGGCATTTTTATCGGGTGTTACTGGCGTTAAAAATGAATTTCTGTGAAAAATTGGTGGGAAAATTAAAAACCTGAATCAATGTTATACCTTTGGATAATTCGCAAAGTTGGTCTTCAAGACATGTTCTACATTTTCCGGATCTGCAACATAAGTATAGGTTGTAAATGGCATAGGGACCACGACGGTCCTCAACTTGGACAAGTACTCGACTAGCCAATCATGCATCCGCTCGTAATTCATGAACTGCTCGACCGCTGCCCCTACCAGTGGCCACGTCTTCGGGCCAACTTTATTTCTCTGGTTCCATCTGTAGATAATGATCGATGACACAATGACACAAATAGAAATCGACCATCCCGTATGTACACCTGGGAGATAATGTGCTGATGAGAGATCATCGGCTTCCATTCTGGAACGATATAGAATGAAGTTCTAGACATGGACCGGTTCTTATAATGTACATAGGAAGTAGGTTACCGCTTGATAGTTGCACAGATGTAAAGAGGGTGGATTAGCAACTCTGTGAAAACAATCTTTTTGTGACTCGCTTCGCAAGAAGCTTAGGTTCAAGAACAAATCACATCTTTTGAACCTACAACCTAACTTCACTCAACTTGTGACAGTTAAAATATTTGATGAATTGGTACACCTTAATAGGATATGAATAAGACATGCTAAAGCAATTGATGGAAATGATCCAAGTTCGCTGGAGGGAACAATACCCTCCTTTGCAAGTGCGAGTATGTGTATTTTTAGTTGCCTGTGAACAGCACACAGATAGCTTCGCCTCTTGATTATCCTCATAGACTGATCTGAATAAGCTGAAAAAATTACTATAAAGAACAACGGAAGTGTTTTCGACCAAAAAAAGAAAAAAACTACGGAAGTGTTTCTGCGCTGCTCTCTTATGATAATACCACATTCATTAATCAATCTATGTCGAGTCGTCAACCAGGTATTCCTTGTCTCTTCAATTATACAAATAGACCACAACAGATGCCATGCCACATCTGCTAAAGAAAAGTACAATTTTGCTTTCAATTGTAACTACTGGATGAAGTAACTTGTCATACTTGGATGCTATTGCAGGATGGCTAAAATTTTCAAGAACCATTATATTTCAAAATTAGTTTACATGTACATATGCTCTTAAGTACACAAATTTCACAAATTAAAAGATGATCAGCACAATCCTCCTCTAGTTTACCAGCCTGTGTTTTGTGAACCATCACAGCACACTGATACCGAGCTCGGCAGATCTTGCGTGGCTGAATAGTTAATCTGATTTGATCATAATTTCCCTTGATCTGCATAAAGGCAGGACATTCCGTTTCCACGGAACTGAAGTTTCTTCTCAGCACGATAGGCTTCACCGTCGACGATGATGTTTTGGCAATCCAAGGTTGGATGGTATGAGCTGTCTATTAGAAGCCGTGAGATGGGACCAAAGTAGTCCAATTGCAACAGATTATGAGTAAGTGAGCAAGTGCTAGGTAATCTCAGCACTTGCTTGTCACTAGCGTCACTTGTCATGGTTCGGTTACTTTGGCCATGGAAGTCTTCCACTTTTTGATCCGAAGTTTTACTCGAGTGTTGCTTCTTGTATATTCTGCATAGGACCCAATCCAACTGAAACGCAACACATGAAAGATAAAGTGACAGTCAAATTTATCAAGGGCTAGTCACTGATCCAATACCATGTGATTTGAATTTTAACAAAATATGGAGAACAAATTTTGGATCGTCTCCTGATAAAAGAAGGCTTACTTTCATAGAGCGATCTTGGACGTCCCTTCTTGAATCAGCCAAACGATACTCATGCATGATCCAATTCGTTTTTAAGCCCTTAGGCGGCCGGCCCTCGTAAAACACAAGGGATTTCTTCACTCCCACATGCTTAGACCCGCTATAGATCGGCTTGTCCGTACCCGTGGCTTTCCAATACCCTGAAACCGCCGCTCGGTTAGGACGGTCTCCGTTTGGATACTTCCGGTTACGCGGGCTGAAGAAGTACCATTCCTTCTCACCAAGTTCGGCTTTTTCTACAATCCATATTGAAAATATACTTAGTACAGCCAACCCAGATACTGAAATCTGATAGCAATTACTGATGTTTTCTCCATATTAGCTACAAAAACTATGTTAAGACTTATGCTCATCATCTTGGAAAACTAACCAGGCAACTGCCACGGGTCGAATTTATAAATATCGACTTCGGAGATGATGGACACAGGGCATGGCCTGGACATGGCTTGGTTTTGGAGGTAATACACAATCAGTTCCTCATCTGTTGGGTGGAATCTAAAACCAGGAGGGAGTTTGTAATTCATCGCAAGCTCTCGAAACTTGAAATTGGAACAGAGTGAATGGTAAACCAAAAAAATTGTGTCGATGCTAAAACCACCTAGTGTCTGAGCTATATGTCGCAGCTGCAAAGAGGAAAGCAAGGCCACGAGAATTGAAAGGGAGAGAGCCCACAGAAAGAAACTGAGGTGTTTGAAATGTTTGCTCGAAGAAGGCCTCTCCTTTTATCGATGGTCGTTTTTGTCATCTTGTGAGACTTTCATGGTTTTGATTGGTGGCTTCTTGGACCCGCATTTCTCACTTGGCGGCTCTTTGTCATGCTTGCATAGGTTTTGACAGAAAGCCTCGTTGCTCTCTCTGATTGGACTGCCATTTCTAAAGTTTTGTCCCTTCTGTGAAGTATATCCATGTAATATATCTTTTCCTGGAATCAGTACTCCAGAGAAATGAAGTATATCCAAGTGATTGAACGCTTGAGTCGAATGAGGTGAATCTTGTGTTTACAATCACAGCTAATCCATACATATCCATTCTGTAGCCAGTGACTAAAAGATTAGCTTGATGACCTCATGGGCAACATCATCTGATCTCACGACTTGGACATCTAGATTAAATTGGCTTTTGACCTCATCTTCGAGCTGCCAAGGAAGTTAATCGAGAAGATGGTAAGCGACTCATTAAAGAACCAATAAAGTATATACAGCACTTGCTAGTTCCCATAAGCAATGAACATTACCCACATTTTATAGCCAGATCAAGAGATTGCTATTCAAGTTCAGCCACTCCATATAAAAAATTTCCAACTTTTCACCTCGCTGGAATTTTCTTCAAATACTTCTCGATTAGGAAAGGGTAGATCATATACTACCACCCTCTAAAATGATCTTGCACATTTCGGAGGAACCCATTTTGATGGTTCACGAATTCGGGATGGACGAAAGCTGAAACTGGCAATTGTCTCATTAATCGATAGACGATTGCCTAATTACCTAAAGAAGTTTTATTCAATCGAATCAATTACAAGGATAGTGAAGAACCGCACTTTGGTCACGGGATTTTCGAACCCACTTTATGTTACCGTACCACAACAACATGAGTATGTCCGATAACTTTTCCAATGGAGCACGCGCACCCACGAACTCCACATTTGCTAATGGGAACCGGAACGGGAAGCGAAGCCCCACTGGAGAAAGAGCGAGTAGGGATCTTTGTACACCCGCGATAGTAGAGTTTCAATGTACCTAGACCGGATTAGGACAAAGTCGCAAGCCGTTTCGGTGAATCAGTGCGCTGACGTGGCTTTCGTCGGACTTTGTCAAAAGCGCGTGCACCGGCGATCAGGTGGTAAGATAAGAACCACAGAAATTGCAACTTGCTGATTGTTGTTTTTTTTTTTAACAGGTGGTTCTTATCATGCCACCTCACTGCTGGGACCCACGTTGACCACAACGGCAATCCTAATGAAACTGGATAAACAACTATATAATATAAAAACGAGAACCGTTAATCATGTGACTCGGATCGAGTTTGGATCGGGACCTAAATGTTCTGATTTAAATTGAGCCATTAACTTGTTTATGATTCATTTATTCGTATTGTATTCCTTGTCTCTTCAATTATACAAATAACAGTCTAGATTAACGAGGCTTGAGTTGAGGTCGGCGAGCTCGAGCTTTGCTGGCTTTTGTTGAGCTCGTCCCTTGCCTATAGCCGGGCACTGGCTGAGGAAGAAGGATAAGAAAAAAAAGAAAGAAAGGGATATGTTCATTGAAAGTACTAAAACTTATCGTGAATGTACAATTGAGTCATAAAATTTGAAAAAATTACAATCAAGTCATGAAACTTGTCAAATTTGTGCAATCGAGTCCTAAAATTAATACTGTCTAACAAACTAACGAAAAACGTTGATGTGGCTTATTTTAATATTTTCTCTCTTCTACATGGCGATGATGTGGCTAAATTATGAAACATTAGACTAAAACGACATCGTTTTAGCCCAAATTTATATTAAAATAATAATAAAAAAAGCCACGTCATCGCCACGTAGGATAGAAAATTAATATAAAAAAAGTCAAGTCAGCATTTTCGGTTAGTAAGTTAGACGATGTTAATTTTAAGACTTGATTGAACCAATTTGACAAGTTTAGGACTTGATTGCATAGTTTGCAAGTTTTAGGATTAAAAAATGCACTTTCGTGACAAGTTTCAGAATTTTCAGTGAACATATCCCAAAAAGAAAAGAAAAAAGAAAAAGGAAAAAAAAATAAAAAAATAAAGGAATATAAAAAAAATCAGAAAAATTTTAAAAAATAAAATCAGAAATAAAAATAAAAATGACCTGTTTACTTAAGCTTGTTGGGTAACCTATATATGACCCATTTAAGATCCATCAAGTTGTTAGGTAACTCATTTAAGCTTGTTTTTAAAAGTTAAGGCAACCCATTTATGACCCACACAATTAAATATGAGTTAAAATTTGGATTCTAAACCCATTTTGCCACCTCTACTTATAAAAAAAAACCAAGAAAAAGAATTACATTAAGTAAAAAAAAATTACTCTGACCAAAAACAGGTCAAAAAATACAAGCTACTAAATTCGCAAAATGCGAAAATATAGATACATCTGCCTTTAATTTACCGATTATCCGTAAAAGGAATCCCCACTTGCAAAATTGTAATCCTCCAACCACTCATTCCTAATCCCCGATCTCTCTTCACCCTTTCATCACTCATCGCTTGACAACATTAGCAGCCAACCCAACGACACAAGCAAATGTCATGCGACAGCAGCGGCCAAAGGAGAAGAGAGAGCCAAATTTGTTGTCTAATTAGTCACATCTTCACTTATGGCCGTGGATCAGTTGACGATATCTTTGAATTTCAATGATCATCACATTCACACATCGATGGTCTCGTCAGGAGATGTGTTTCTCCCTCAAGAGTAAAGGATTGCGGTATGAAAAAGATCGAGGGCCTGCTATGCCGTGCATGGCCCACGGTTCGGCCCAAAACAAATGGCCCCTTCTTGGCCCAAGCTCATTTTCCCACTGAGATTCATGCACGCTTGAATGAAATTATTTATTCTCAATTTGGCACTTTTGCTCGAGCAGACTTTGAATCAACAAATCACATCTCTTTTTTCCAACATTAGCCAGTTGGGAAAAAATGACAAAAAATATGAAAGAACAACAGGAGAAAATGAATTCATTGATAATTCCCAAAATGTCAAAGCTCAATTAGAGCCCTCAATGCTTGCTTCTTGACCACCTTCCCATATATCCCCCTCCCCAATTTCAATGCCTTCTCCATCTCCAACGTCGCCCCACCACCAAGTCCGCCGCCGCTCCCGCTCCTGCCCAGTTGCTCCACCAGCACCTTCAACACCCTATCGTCGCTCCCCGTCGCTTCCGCGATGCTGTCCACTACCGCCTCCGCCGCCGGAATCCGCCTACCCCACCTCTTCGCCGACTTCTCGGACGCATACGCCTCACCGTACGCGGCCCAGAACGAGGCCCTCAGATACCCCTTCTCTTTCCCCCTCACGTTCCACCTCCTCATGCCTTCCTCCAGTCTGTACACGACTCCTCCCGCATCCATCCCGACTTCGAGACCCGTCTCGATGTCCATCAGTTCTTGCTTCGATCGCGTCTTCTCCTCGAACTCGCACCTCTTGCAAGAGCAATCGAACCCCCACGTGGCCGCCATCTCGCGGCGCTTTGTGGGCGGCTGCAGCACGTCGAAGTAGGCGAACGTGAGCTCTTCCCCGGCTTTGACGTCCCGAGAGGCGATGACCATCAGGTGATTCCCCACGTGGAGCCTCCTCGCGTTGGGACAACACGAGTGGTTGATGAAAGAAGCGAGGAACCACAGCCCGACGCCATAGTAGTCCTTGTTCCTACCCATGACCTTAGCTGAATTCGCATTCTCCACTAGAGAGTTCACGTCTAAAATGCCCAAAATCTTGTTCATGTCAAGCTTCTCATTTGGGCAGTCATGGCTCTCACTTGCCTCTGACCTGAAAATGCTCAGATCTGGAACCTCAAGACCCTCCTCATCTTCCCCTGAAGACAGAGTGCTGATCAGGTGACGGGTTCTTCGGCATTTTGAAACACAGCCCGCGACTCTGTCTATGAAGTTCTTCCACATGACCAACTGCTTGTTCTCGCCCGAACCCGAATCCTCTCCCATCACGATCCCTCTCTCTATTGCGATCGCTCTGGTGACCAGCACCACAGTCCCGGCGTCGATGTTCTTTGTCGCGAACAGCCCTCTCCCACTGATCTCCGATTTCTTGATCTGCATCGGCCCGATGTACTCCGCAAGCTCGGGAATCTCTCCGCGGAACCCGCCCGAGACCCAGTCGGAGAAATCGAAATTGCCGGTCCGGGATTGATACTCCAGCTTCTTGCACTTCTCCAACCACACATTCAGAGTCTCAGCATTCCCGTTCGCCTGAGGAACCAGCGAAGCCGCCGACTTGAAGCACTCGAGGGCAGCTGAGTACTTGCCGAGGCTCAGCAAGATCTTACCCTTGCAGACCAAGGCTCTGAAGTGGGAGCCCTCGATTGCGAGCGCCTCGTCGCAGTCCCTCAGCGCCTCGTCGAGGGATCTCAGCTTCACACTCGCGTCGGCCCGGTTGGCGAGGGCCAGGCAGAGGGATTTCTGGAGCTTGGAGAATCTGTCCGGGTCCAAGGCTCGGTCTGCAGTCGAGAGGCAGGCACGGCAGCGATCGATGAGCTGGGAGTAGAGGCCGGACGACTCGGCCCACTGCTCGCGGAGAAAGAGCTCGGTGGCCTTCGACCTGAGCTCCTGCAAGAGCTCTTCCTCTGCCATGAGCATCTGCACAGAGGTTTTCGTGCTGTTCTTCGTTTGGGGCCGAGGTTGTGGAGCGAGGACTCTTTTGAAAATCTGGGGGGTTCGCCTGTTGTAACGGTCGACATTTGGTTCCGTATTTTATGCTTTTCCTTTATCCTACGTTCCTGTAACGCCAACGGCTACCACGGGATTGTGCTCCTCGTCTTTATTTTATTTTATTTATTTTTGCTATTGTTATTTTTATTTTTTTCGGGATAAGATTTGTTATTCTTAATTTTCATCTTCTACGCAGCCTAGCGGATTAAAATTTCATCCATTAGGTGCAATATGATATTTGATTCTTAATCAACTTAATTAAAGGGCGCGTTTATTTCACTAAAAACTTCGTGCTAAAAGAAAATATATTTTATGGAAATCATTTTCGAGATAAATCGTTAGTTTTCATTTGTTTGATAATTTAGGGAAAGTGATTTCCTTCTTGCTAGAAAAGAAAATTATTTTCCCCAATCTAAATTCGTTGTTTTCAGTTTAAGAAAAACATTTTTCATTGATCGATTAGTATTTCGTTATCTAAATATCGAAAAATTGAAAAATAACTTCTCGAAAACTGCTCCTTCCAGATACGAGAACTTAGAGTTCGTGGAAACAGAGTCACTGAGGTGTTCTCAAGTAGCGAGGTTGAAGATGAGTAGAGGACACTTAGGAGAAAATATTAGGTGCACTATGCACTCCATGTGTGACATCCCCAATTTGGACCAAGGCGACCAAAGGTAAATGATAATGGAATTGGCGAGCGGTCCGATCCGAGGGTCGATAATAGAACGGATAGTATGGTTGGAATGAGTGTACTGAGGGTTAGTCATGGCACAATCGAAGGATTGTCCATGGATTGACCAAGGGATCGACAATGGAATGACTCCCCAATCACGCAAGTTGATTAGACCGATCTGACCATGGATCGACCTTTCGACCACAAGAGTCGTTAGTGGGATGGTCCGGGACGACCATGGATCAGTGCCGTGCGGGCATGTGTCGATCGTGGGTGATTCCGCTCGGCCATGCATCGATCGCGGATGACCATGGACTGATCCCGTAGTACTTGATTTCCACACGGTTACATGACAACCGAGGGTCGACCATGGGTCGTTGATACTCGAACGTGGACCGGTCACGAATCGGCTATGGATCGACGCGTTGAGTCGGGTAGGCCATGGACGAGTCATGTTCCAGGCCAAAAGCCTTGTGGCTTGGTCGCGCACCAGGCTTTGTGCCGGCCACGCAAGCCGGGCCTTGTGCCCGGTCATGGACCGACCCTTGTGCCCGTTAGCTAGGCCACGGACCGGCCCTGTGTCTGGCCGTGTGCCAGTCATTGTGTCCGACCCTTGTACCAGGCTTTGTGCCCATCAAACCTGGCTCCGACCTAGTTCCGTGCCAAACAGACTTGGCCACGAGCCATGCATTGTGCCCATTCGTGAGCCAATGCATGTGTTCGGTCCATGAATCGGTCCCTCGCTCGTGTGACCCAGCATTGCGCTTGGCGCACCGACCATGCGGCTCGGCACAGCACTCATGCACTTGGCTATGCGCCCGTACAGCCGGACCAGCGCCCCGTATGATCCGATCGTGTGCCCGACCCCGTGCCCGTGTGACCCGACCGTGTGCCAGGCCTTGCGCCCGGTCAAGCCCGACCGAACAGGTCATGCGCCTAATCAGTCCAGCTGGTCCGACCTTGCACCAATCAACCCAGACTTTGACTCGGTTATGTCTGGTCATACTTGGACATATTTCCACATCAAACCTCAGTTCAAATAAGGATTGTCGATCGTTAATGAGCACATAAAATTCTCATTTCGCCTTAGTTCACCTTTGCTTTTGTAATAATAAGTTTTGGAGGTTTGTGCTTAATGAAAATGTGAACCATAAGTTAATTGTCTTTAGTGAATTATTGGGTGTTCTTGAAGGACAATAACAAGTCTCACACGCCCTAAGCTTGGAGGACAAGAAGCCAAGAAGACCAAGTGAAACTTAGGTCAATAATTGAGGACTAATCATTAGAGAAGATCTTATTTTCTAAGATATCCAATAATTGTGTGTTCTTGAGTGTTCTAGAGAAGCCACACGCCCAAGAAGCTTGGAGAACAAGAAGAATATGAGACCAAGCCATTGAAATTAGTAAAAAAGCCATCATTAGAGGCTTAGGTGTCCTCTTAGTCATTAATGAGAAGGGTAATTCATATAACCTAAACATATGGCATAAGACCTAATGATAGGCTTGCAAGACAAGTAGGACATTTGTTAGATAATTGAACTCCCAATTATTAGGTCTAAGATCCTTGCAAAATTTTCCTCTATTATTAGATGCCACCTCTATTTGTGGTGATTTAGGCTTGTATGCGTAATTGCTTGTTCTTGCATCATGGTCGTGAATCAAGGCACAACCGGGTCACGAAAAAAGGCATCGTATGGTCTTGTATCCATGTTGTAGCGTGACGGATCGAGTTTGGCTTGGTGCGGGGTTATGTTGAGGCGTATAGACCCAAGCCGAGTTAGGCTCCAAGTCTGCGTTCGGCGAGCCACGAACCCTAGATCGCGCCCCGCATATTAGACATATCTATAGATCATGGACTATACGAGCACCACACGCCTTAGGGCTTGAATGCATGGGCTAATGTTAATAAGATAACAAATTGGATTGTTTGAGGTTTGTTGCATGATCTCACGAGAGACTAAAGCTGTCGCCAATGGATTTCGGAATGTTGCCACCACCGATGGATTTCGGGGTGATGCCGTCATCGATGGATTTCAAGACGATGCCGTCATCGATAGATTTCGAGGCGATGCCCGATGGAGTTTGGATGCCCATTGAACACCGGAGGAACCGATGGATTTCGGTTGAGAAATAATGAATCCCATGTGTTGATCTTGCATGCAACGTTTAATTACCATGCTTGGTGTTCGCTTGCTTGGTGAGCATGACATGTATAATACATAGGCAAGGTAAAAAGCATTTTGCTATTGATCTACCATCGACAAGTGAAACGGTAACGGTTGATCTCTTGTTCAATGGCGAGGCTATCTCTTAGCCGAAGTTTTGTGAATTTACTTACTGAGTTGTGACTCACTTTTTTTATTTCAGCTTTGTAGATATGGCTACACCATCCCCAGATCGTCACGGTCTTCCAATAGAAATGCATGTTTCTATAGTTGACATAGTTGATGTAGAATCGGAAGTCACATACTGTACGTGTGTCACCACGATTTGGGTACAAGAGGATGCCAATGAGCTGGTCCCCCATCGCTACGAAGCATGGTTTGTTTGGTTCGATGGAGATTTGCTCGGACCCCTTCCCAGATTTAGCAGATCATCTAGAGTCGCCAATGATAACATGCCCAATGGGGAACATAGGAGGAGCGTAGCTAGTCGACCGAGCTTGGGGAAAACTAACTTTTGTTTTTTTGTGAAGGAAGCCGTGGTAGAGAAGCTAGGACTACCCCGACTGCACGAATAATATGTGATAGACCGAATACAATCCGGATGTAAATAAGCAAGAAAGCTCCGTAGGAAGAAAAAAAAAGGCTTGTAAAAGAAGCACTTATCATGTAAGTTAGTGTGTGCTTGTAAAACATGTTTCATAGCTCATGTTGTTGCTTGTTAAGTATAATCGCTTCCGCCTATACGTAACCAAAGAAAATCATAACGGGATGTCGTGATGAAAACCCCTGGCATAAAGGAAATCACAACTGGGCTAGGACCGAGTGCCACGGTCCTGATTCGGGACGTGACACCATGTCAACGAGGAGACACCCCATTAGGTGTGTGACATGTGTCAAATGGGTGCCATCTATGAGCAGATTTTGAAAACTCCCTCTCATCTCTATCTCCATTACCTCTGCTATCTCTTGCTCTCTCTTTCTCTCCTCCTGAGAAGGAGCTCCCTCTTTACTTGCTTTTTCTCTCCCCCTCTCTCTCTCTCTCTCCCCATCACTCTTCATGAATAAATGCTTTTTGTCTCTCCCAAAATCACCTTCGTCTTCTCATTTTCTCTGGAATCTCAAGGAACGAAGCCGCCTCCGCCGTCGCGTACAAGAGCCCATTAGCGGCTCCGGCTTGTTTTCTCTGTCTGACGAGTGAAGACCCACTGAAGGTTGGGGTTTTCCTCTCGCGTCTCTCCTAAAATCGCAACGAGCTTCCGCCGTCGCCTTACTTCATCTTCTCATCTTTAAGGAATGAAGCCACCTCCACCGTCGCTTTTCAAGAGCCCATTGGTGGCTCCGGCTCCTTTTCTCCATCCGATGAGCGAAGATCATGTTAGGGTTTTCCTCCCCTTTTGTTTATATTCGTGAGTCTGTATCCCCATTTGCATAGTTGGAATGACCGAAGAGAAAGACACAATACAATAATGGGAGCGAAGGAGTCGGCAAGCTCGCTAAACCCCAAATACGGATTAGAGGCACAAAGAGTTAAGAGTGCAAATAAATGAGTGAAGGTGCAGACCCGTGAAGAGAGCAGAGTAGAGAGAGGAGCAGAGTCGTGTAGAGCGAAGTCGCTGAAGAGGACAGAGGGAGAAGAAGCTTTTGTGTGAAGAGAGTAGAGCATAGTGGCAGCTGCTACTAGTAGTAACGAAGAGCAAACGGGAAACAAATGGAGAGAGAAGAGAGAGGGTTTTCCGAAATTTTCTGATTGGTGAGTCCCGAAGGATACGTGTTGTGAGCTGGGTGGACTTTCTCGGTGATGACGTGGCAAGACTGTCTTAGCTAATATTTTCTCGTTACAGCTAGTAGCAACGTGATGTAAGCTGGGTGAACTTTCTCAGCGATGACGTGGCAAGGTTGTCTTAGTTAATATTTTCTCATTAGTGCCAGTAGTAACTGCTGCTATGCTCTACTCTCTTCACGCGAAAGCTTCTTCTCTCTTTGTCCTCTTCAGCTACTCCGCTCTTCACGACTCCGCTTCTCTCTCGGGAGAAAATATTATGTGCACCAGGCACTCCACTTTAGCGATGAGACACCCCATTAGGTGTGTCACACGTGTCAAGCGGATCCCACCTGTCAGTAGATTTTGAAAACCCCCTCCCATTTCTGTCTCCGTTACTCCGCTATCTCTTGCTCTCTCTCTCTCCCTCCTTTCGAGAAGGAGCTC